CTTCCTCTTGCAAGATTGCTCCTCAGCCCAGGAAGTGGTATTACCTTGAAGTGAGGAGCAGCATGACCAGACAAAACTGGGGGCTGCTTCTGAGGACAAGGGGGGGTAAATGGGGGAGTGGGGATCCTTGTGAGCCCTGCACATTTTCCCCTGGATCTTCATTCCAATATTATCCAATCAGTGCCCTGCCTCTCAGCGAAGAAACCTGGCAGGCCTGTAAACTCAGCTAATGGTATTCAGTGGCAAGAGGACTCAGATTCTTAATTTGGGTTTCCAGCCCTCTTGGCTTTGCTCTCTGAAGGATGAGATTCAGCCTGGTTATAGAAGTCTCTAGGTTTCCATCTGTGGCTTGAATTGAGACCTTAAGGATTTGAGATTGTTACTCTCTTTTCTAAATTATTCACTGCCACCCATCTATGGCCTTGACTTTCTTTACCCATGATATTTTAGGATGGCAGCGATGCAGTCTCCCAGAGCTGGGCCTTCACAGTGGGCATGCTATTCCAGATAACTTTTGGGGAACTAATTCACAGCATGCCATGGGCTGCTGGGTCCCCATCTCAGAATATTAGCAGGACTGTCACTACTTCCTACCCTCTCTCAAAGGCAGATAACCATCACAGATAGTCCCCATTTCCCTACTTCTCTCATTTGCAATATGCTCTCCTAGCACCACATTCCCTACCAGTTAGGAAATTTTCAGTGACAAGTAATGAAAACTGGGTCTGTTCTAAGGAAAAAGAAAATGTTTTGAAAGAATGTTGGGGGCTCATAGAATCATGGGAAGCTGGAGGATTCAGTTTGGGAAATGGAGAGGAACCAAAGCCCAAATCTGCAGAGCCAAGAAACAGCATGACAACCGTTTGATGGTTTTGAAGCATTGCTGGGTGCTGCTGTATCAATTCTGTTGTGTTCTTTCATTCCATATTCACAGCACAGCTTCTGAGTGCTAACTAGTTGTGGTATCTGATGAGCCTGGGTCAGGGCTCCACACGCTGGTGGGAGCAGGAGAGGGGATATCTGTCTCTCTAAGTTAGTGGGCAGAAAGGCACCCCCAACACAATATTGGGTCTCCAAAATGGGAGGAGTACTACATCCTGGAGAGCTAAAAATAGCAAAAGTGGGATGGGTGGATTTACAGACAGGTTCTTAGGGGCGAAAAAAGTGAGCCAGAATTCCACATAAATGTGGTGTTGTGTATTTATAAATTCTGGGAAAAGAGCCACACATAGAATTTCTGATACACCCCAGGTAGCGTGAGGTATTGGGGCTACTATTGCTTGAATCTAGCTGGTCTGGCCTTCAAGGAGCATAGACTTGTGGGAAAACAAACAAGATTCTCCGTTACATTCTTGATATTCTGAGGCTCCTAGTAAAAGGTCCTTCCTTGGTGAAGAAAATAGATTGGACAGTTGGACAGTTAGAAACATGGAGAGACCCTTAAATGTGTCTCTTTGGTCCCTGTTCCCTTCCTACTGTCTAGAGGAAGGTTTAAAAAGAAGAAAATAAGAGTCTTATTTATCGATCAAGGAAAAAAGCAAGACAAAAAAGATGAAGATCAATCAGTTTTCTTCATGGCAGATGTTGTGGATGACAGGAAATGAAAGAGGAGAAAACAATTTGAATTATGTATATTTGCAGTCAGCTGACAGATGTGGGCTAAAGGCTTACCAGTTGAAGAACTTTCAAATCCTTTTCCACTAAAAAAAATTAAAAAATGGTCTCAGTCCCCCGCAGGTACCCTTAGATCATTTTGTTCATTCACGCGTCGGGGATTTATTGGCATTTACTGAATGCCAGAGGTTGAAAGACAAATTCCATTTCTCTGATGGCCCCCGGGAAGTATTGTGGTAGAGAATCTCCAAAGATAGTTTCCATTGATTCCTTTTGTTGTTACCGCTTCCCTTGAATCTGGCTGCCTGGTGACTTGCTCTGACCAATAAAATGCACAGAAGTGATGTGTGGCGGTCCCTACCCTAGCCTTTAAGGGGCCTGGCAGTTTCTTCTGACTTCCCCAAGGCTGCCATGCTGCCAGGAAGCCCAGGCCAGCTCAGAGGCATGCTAAGGCCCCCGACGAGCCCGTGAAGCCTTCTTAGACCTTCCAGCTCAGCCCAGCCATGCTGAATGCAGCCGAGTGAGTGTGCCTAGTTGCCGCCACATAAAGCACAGCCACCTGGCTGAGCCCAGTTGGCCCCCAGAGATCATAAACAGTGGTAGTTTCAAGCTGCTGTTTCCATGGTGGGTTTTGCAGCAACAGATAACTAGAGCAAGTAGCATCTTACCAGCTCAATTGGCAGGACGCTTCCCAGGTTGAAGGAATCAGAGGCTTTTGGGTAGGGTAGGGGTAAGTGGTGATTCCGGAGGACTCTGGCATGCAGCCTCCTGATAGGGGGAGGTGGGAGGGACTAGGAAGGGGCCGTGATGCAGCAGAATAGGTGCGCCTCACACCCCTACGTACTACTCACTTGCCGGTAGAACTCACACCCGCCCTTCCACTGTAGCTTATCATTGCTTTCTGCGCACTCCTCCTCACTTCCAGGTCCCACGTGTCCTCCCCAACCAAACCCTCTGGGCATCAGCAAGTACTATTTTCGTGTAAAATGGGGACAGAACGCGAGGCAGTGCTTGGAATTGTCAAGGCAGGATGGGGAGACTGGATGTAGAAAGACAAGTAGCTGAGTGCCCCCAAACATCACCTCCTTTAGAGCCGTGCCTGAGAACAGGATACCATATGTCAGAAAAATTTGCTGTATTTTGGTTAAGAATCTTTTATTTTACTTATCCAGAGTCTCTTAATCACCTTCAGGGCACTTCAACAGTCCCTGAAAATTCAAAGATGAAAATAGTTCTTAATCTCAAGATGTTCATCACTGCTCAGTGGGTAAATTCTGGGGCCGTGATATGTCTTGGCATCATAGAGGTTTACTTAGACGTGTCCCTAGGACTGCACCACCTACTAAGAGAATTCATTTTACTCCTTTGCTTCTTTAAAACAAACACTTGATTTATTTATCCACCCCCACCCCACTGGCCTGGGTCCTTCCAGACTTCAACTCCACCCCACCCTGCTTGCTTCTGGGTCTCGATCTACTTTGCTAGATCTAATTTTTGTCTTGTGATTTCCCCACCTTGAACTTGGTTGGTGCCTGATAGATCACAGACTTATTCTGTGATGGACCAGAGCCAGGTGATTCTACAGCTCCGAAATGGGCCCCCCAGAGGTCGTCATATTAGTTTTCCAAAGATGATGGTAAAATGGAACCACAAAGCTGTGAAGTAGCCCTTTGACTTAACTCTTTTACACCCAGTAGAAACCTTTCAAAATTCTGGTTCTACTGAACAGCTGTCAATTTTTTTTATGCCGAGTTGTGTCTTCTGTCAAATTAGTTTTTGAAATCACAAGGGTGAAACTCTTAAAACTTATAAAGAACAAAATGGATCCAGTTAATGGTAAACTCTAGAAACGCAGGGGCAAACAGCTGAAGCGAGAAGCAAACCATTTAGATAATCAGGCAGATTCAGGATAATCAAGTGAGTAAGCACAGCAAATACAATGGCTCCGCTCATGTGTTAGCGATGAGTTTCCTCTCGGGAAAGAGAATTTGCAGGGAGTGAAAACAGCATGGCTCTAAAATCCCAGCACCAGCCACTGGAAAGTCCTACCCTTCCTTCGCTTTTGATGAAACCATCTAAATTGATGACGTGAGGAAGTTAGCAAGGAATGGCCCTTGGCGAGCTGCTGGTGACGTGTGGATGGTCGCTGAGTCCGTGTCCCACTTTCCAAATGCTTGTGATGGCGGCCTGACTACCCCTGGCTGTGCGAGAGGCCGTCAACGGCTGAGTTCTAGTTGGGGCTGCTCCTCTCCTACCCCATTGCCTGCCCTAAACGTTGCCCAGCCCAAGCCAGCATTAATTGAGCCATGTGACCTTGGGCAAGTCAACTTCTATAGACCTCAGTTTTCTCCTCTATAAAATGAGGAGGTGGATGAGGCCCCTGATTTTAGAAATAAATATTATTTAAGAAAAAAAGAACAGTGCAGGGAAAGAGACAGCGGGTATGCCAGGCACACCTGGGCCATAACCTGCCACTTACTGCTTCACACATGGAAATCTCGTTAGAGAGTCTCCAAAACTGTGATCTGATCTAGCTTTAGGCGAGGGTTTTTTTTTTGTTTGTTTTGTTTCTGTTTTTTTCTCCTTTTAGAAAGAAAAGCCAAGCTCAACTGTTTGGGACTCTGCATTCCCGCTCTTTCTCCTCTTTTTTATTCGTGGCACATTTCTTCTCAGTGATTCTTTCAGTGTATTTTTTTTTTTTATATTGAAAATAGACATTTTGTTTATACAAGGCACAGTTTCAAAATAACAGTTATATAAAATATGTAGATATAATAGGGAGTATAAATAGAAATGCATATACATGGAAAATGTCACTGAGTTCAGTTTCCTTCTTTGTGAATCCTTAAGGCAAGTGGATTCATGGGGCATGATACCTCTTTGCTCCCTTTCAGTGCCTGCAGAGCACCTCAATAGAGGGAAAGCGTTTGGAGCTGCAACACTGTTGTCATCCTTGTAGATGTCTCTTAAGCCAGCAGGAGACTCAGAATTGTCTTAGAGTCTCAGGTGTATTTCTTTTCTCTGTAAACTGCAAGTCAGGATGAGGGGTGGAATAGTCAAGCTGCTAAGCTATCCCAAATAAATGTCACAATGAAATAAAAGGAAAGCTGAGGCCTTCAGCCGCTCCCAGGAAACCTTCAACTGCTGGGATCTGGGGAAGGCAGCCCTACACCTGAGGCCGGGCAGGGCAGGGCAGGTCCCGAGCATCCATCCTGAGACTGCAGAGCCTAGGAGGTGTCTTGGCTGGGTGCTGTCGATAAAATGATGGCAGGATGTTTGTTTTATCATCCTGATGGGCTGTTTCCTGGTGCCCAGGTCCTTGAGTCATTTCCAGGTCCTCTTTGGCTAGGGCAGGGTTGGCACCTTCGCTCAAGTCTCTGCTGCCCTCAGTCTCCCCCTGAGTGTCCCAGGTCGTGTGGGTAGTTTTCTGCGTCCTCCTCTCTACCGCTGGTTCCCCTAGTCATTGGCATCTCTTCCATGCTTTCCATTTCAACACTGGGTGTCTGCGAAGTTTGCCTGTAAAGCAGATCAGTCACAGCTTTTGAAAAGAGGGGCGGGTCGCCCTCAACTTGAGTGAACAGATAGTTCTGGTTGAACACTCAGATGGGGAAAACCTAGCTTACCTCCATTCACGGCTGGTATTTCAATCTTACTTTGGTATTTTAAGCCACTCAACCACCAAAGATTGACCAATGCTGTTGGAGCAGCTTACCCCCTCTTTTCCAATCCTCTGCTAAAAAGCAGTATTTCCGATGGCAGGAACAAAAAGAGAGTAACTGGGAGCCCGGCAAAGCCAGACATGATCATCTTGACAAAAATGATGTAATATTCAGAAAGCTTTTAAAACAGTTCTTGGTACTTGGTATGTGTTTAAAGAAACAAATATATTAACCAGTAACCAAGTAAGTAACCAAGAGTGGGGGAGGCAGAACATCTTAATTCCACATGTTTCCCTGTCATTGAAGGACCTGTGTTTTTTGGCCCTGAGTATCTGGGTCAGCAATTTTTTCCATGGATTATGTCATCCACCTCTTGAGGATAGGCAACTCTTTGGGACATTGCAAAGTAAACTCTTTGAATCCAAAGAAAACAAAAACACCAATTCGAAGAGATAGCTGCACCCCGAGTTCAATGCAGTATTATTTACACCAGCCAAGATATGGAAGCAACCTAAGTGTTCATCGACAGATGGATGAATAAAGATGTGTGTGTGTATACACACACAATGGACCATTACTCAGCCATAACAAATAATGAGCTCTTGCCATTTGCAACAACGTGCATGGACCTAGAGGGTATAGTGCTAAGTGAAATAAGTCAGACAGAGAAAGACAAACACCATATGATCTCACTCATTTGTGGGATCTAAAAAACAAAAATGAACAAACAAAACCAACAGACTTGTGGACACAGAGAACAAACTGGTGATTGCTAGAGGGGAGGGGCTGGGGGGCAGGTGAAATAGGGGAAGGGGATTCAGAGGTACAAACTTCCAGTTACAAAATAAGTCACGGGGATATAATGTACAGCACAGGGAATATGGTCGATCATAGTGTAATAACTTTGTATGGCATCAGGTAGTAACTAGCCTTGTCGTGGGGATCATTTCATAATGCATAAGAATGCTGAATCAGTATGCTGCACACCTGAAACTAATAGGATATTGTATGTCAGCCACATTTCAGTTATCAAGTACATAAGCACTTTGAGCTCCTTGCAGTGAGAGCTAAACTGTAAATCAGGACTCTAGGCCAGTGTACTGAAAATAATTTGCTGAAAGCCGGTTTGTTGAATGACCAATCTACCTAAGAACCCATCTGTAAAAAATAAGTTTACAGCAAAGAATTGATTTGCCAAATGACCAAGTAGTTATGCTTTTCAGGTTTACCAAATCTTACCGATATATTTATCAATATTTCTCTACTATAGTCAGTGAATATTGATATTTTCATCTTATCGGCATATTTATTGGCCATATATACCAAATTTACAAATTCTTGAAGATCCTATTTTTAATGTCTTATTCTTAAAAAATTGTGTACATTTTTTAAGTCAATGAATATAGTTAGTCGTTATACTCTTTTAAGAATGTAACTCCAAAGACAACATGTCATGTGGAAATTTATTTATAACAACACTTTGAAACTCCTTTTAAAAGTCATTTTTTATTTTGCCAGCATTTTAGCATTTTGGGGATTGTTTTGACAGACTTTCGAGTCACACATCAACCTTAGCATGTTCTTTCTAAACGATCTATGAGATTTATGGCATTTCTTTTGGTTGGGATGGTATTAACAGCTTTCAAAGATGGATGTGAATTTTTAGATGACTTTTTCGTTTCGGCTTCACAGTAGCATTTCATAGAACATTCATTTTGCCGAAGTGAGGCTCGAAGGATGGTATCATCCTTATACTGATATATTTAGAAAAGAATTCCTTGTGATTAGCAACTAAAAGTTTTGTTTCAACAAATCTGATTTCTCCTGTTCAATGTATGTTGCTGAGGAAGGATCCAGAACAGCCATATCAACAAGGATGCTGGTTACTAGGTTCTAATGGATACAAATATGAAATTAAGGCAAATATATGCCATTTGAGGCTTTAATGAAAATTATAAAAATGCCTCAAGATTAGAAAAATAATAAAAACTGAAATTTCGGCAAGTGGCAGAAACGGTTTTCTCGTCACCCAATGCTGAAATAAGAATTTCGATGACTAGAAATACAAAAGTCAGGCCTACATGAATGAGCACATAAATAAGAAAGTATCCCTATATTTGAATGAGAATATTCGAGAAAATATATTCATGACTGTATCACAGCAGTTGCATATCCATCAAATTGGTTATTGGGTAGGTTCTTTCCTTCTTTTAAAAAGGAAAGAAAACGTTCATTCTTTTCTCTCCTTGTGGTAGAGCGGCCCCTCGTCACCAGTTAGGTTCTGGCTTCCGTGTCTCCTACTGGTGGCCTGTGGGGGGCCTCCCAGGGCCAGCTCCCCATTGGCCAGTACAGGAGTGAGCGGGCGTGAGAGCCCGCCTCAATAGCCAGGAAAGGGGGTCTTGCTTTGAGGGGGCAGCGGAATCATAATGATGCAGCTCTTTTCTGGGAGGGAAGAAAGAATCCCGTCCTCTGTGATTCCCTCACGCTTCTCACCTGGATTTTCGGTAACAGACCAGAAGAAGCACCATGCATACTACACCGAGCACAGTGACAGGTGTGGCGATGGCCGCTGCAAGAGAACAGAACAGAGCTGTCCTGCGGAGAGTCCTGGCAGCAGGTTCATGTCTAAGAACCTGAAAACTCTTTACAGTTGACAATCCTGCAGAGAGATCCAGATGCCTTCCCAGCCCCAGCTGACTGTTACTGACATTTCTGGAAGTCCACACAGTCCAATCTGCTCTACTTCTGGGCAGAAAGTGTATTCTTTTCCCACCAATACCACCAGTTCAAACCATCCCCTTTCACGTCATCCCACATCCCCAGCTCCTAATCCATCCTTCCTGGTTGGGGTGACATGGTGATGGGACGAGAGGGGAAAGTAAAGGCCTCAGAGTTCACAAGCTGGGAAGGCTGGTCTGCTGCTTAATCCAAAGTCAGAAAATAGTTGTCCTTGGGACCACCTCCCCCTTTTCTTCAACTTCACAGAATCCCCATTTAGAAACAATAGCATGCAGTGCCATGTTTCTTCCAACTTCATTTTTTTTTTTTTTTAAGTGGGCTCCACACTGGGCTTGGAGCCCAATGTGGGGCTTGAACTCACGACCCTGAGATCAAAACCTGAGCTGAGATCGAGTTGGATGCTTAACTGACTGAGCCACCCAGGCGCCCCCATCATTATTGTGTTTTTATTGGCAGCTTTTTATGGCAGAGGAAGGGTGGTAAGGAGAGAAAGGAGGTGTCGTAAAAGGTGTTACGGATTAGAGGAGAGTAAGGCCGTGGCTCGGGAGAAGGGAAAGATCCTGTTTGGGGTGAGTTGAAAGGAACAGCCTGGAGTGGTGGGGGCACTTGCAGGTAGGAGGCCAGCAGGTGTAGGGCATTTGAGCTTTATTAGACAAGGATCGGAAGAGTGGGATCTCCATGTGGAAGCCAGAGGGCTTAGCCCAAGGGCATGGTGAACCTAAGTATTTTAAAAACACTTGCATCAATAAATAATAAGCTCCAGGCAGAGTTGGCCACTTTGCCTCCATATTGTGAAATCTCCCTGCAAAAAACTACCTGCCCTCCATGAAGGATGACAACCCTGAACATCTGGGGGGCCAGCGGTCTGACTGTGGACCACGAGTCACATCTCCTAGACTGTTCGGCTGTTTGGATCTGTGCCTAAACAACCAGCACACGACCTCCTGTACAGGATACATCTCCTATCTTTGCCTTCAAAATACAACTCTATCGAAAAACAGAGAAATACAAGGATGTGGGGAAACACTCAGATTCTCTGCCGGGTACGGAGTACGGTTTTTCTCAAGGGCAGTCGGCAACATATAACAACAGCTTTAGAGAAGACCACCCCCGTTGACTCTCTAGTCCCACTTCTAGGAATTTATTCCAAGGAAATGGGCAAATACATGCAGGAGTATTCACTGAAGTATTATTTAAAACAATTTTTAAAATGTTAATCTCTTATTAATAGAAAATTAATTAACCTGTGGTATACCCATACATTGGACTATCATCCAGCTTTTAAAAATTATGAAATGAATCTATATTAACACAGAAAGATGCCTCCAATTACTTAGGTGAAAAAAAAACTGGCTGAGATAAAAATGAACCAAAAAATAATCTCCAGTAAGCCATGTGTGTGTCCATAGGCACAGGACAGCCTTGAAGAATAGATACCAAAGTACTAAGTAATGGTGGGCTTGTAGATAATCTTTATTTTCTTTTTTAAAAAGTTTGCTTTTTTCCTGATATTTTTGAAATGGTACTGTCATCAGAAGAAACAGTAAAGTTGTGAAAACAAAACTACCTGTGCCTAAGTAAATACAAACAAGAATAGAAAAGTCCCAAAGGAAGTAACAAGGAAGCATGGCAAATTAGTGAAAAATGTTTTGAGTTTTCAGACTTAACATTAATCATCATTATGACTAAGAACCAGAAATGCTTCCTAAGAGATGGTGTGCCCTAGGGTAAACTATTTCTTCCATTGACTCATCAGCTCATCATGCATTTACTGTCCACAGAGGGATTTATTGGAAAAGGCCGGTTGATTTCAGCTGTAGTTTTGCTTTCATAATGCCTCTTCCTGTTTCTTCTGAATGAGAATCACGCCTGCAGACTCCCAATTCCAGGGAGAAAGGAGGGCCCTGAGCCAGTGATGTGACAGAGCACTTTGAATCCAGGGACAAACTCATACCCTTGGCCTCTTCCTCCATTATATCCAGGCAAACTGGGTAAAAAAAATTGAAACCAAAATCACAAAGATGCTAGGTAAACAAATCAACTGGCAAGTTCCCCCACCATTCTGTGTTTCCTGAGGGATGCATGGGTTGGAGAAAAAGGAAGAGAGAGAGGTTTGGTGAGCCAGAGGAGAACAGAGGAGGATTTGAGTCAGGGGCGGTGGGGGGGGGGGGTGGATTATTGCTCAGGAGGCCGAGAAAGGCCAGTAGTAGCTCCCTGCCTTGACTTCAGCCCGCAGTGCATGTTGGGGCTAAAGCGAAGAAGGTGGCCGAGGCAACCAGTGGTCACTGTTCATTGTTGATGATGAAGAGGTCCTCTGAGAACATGGGCGGGGGGACACCATTCCTTAGCAGTACCTACCAACTAGATCAGCCAGGAAGTGCTGTTTCTGACTGCTGGTGTGCCTGCATCTGATGAAGGCAGTTTTGAAGTAAGAATATCATTATTCCTGGGCAGTGTTTCTCTTCTGTCTCTTACTGCACTAAGCACACAGTAAGTGTTGGGTTCAGAGTAGGTACTCAATAAATACCTAACTGGTTGAACTAAACCATTCCTATAGTCCATAAGTTAAAAGTATATTTGACGTGCCATTTGCTTCTCAATGAGAAATCTGCATTTCATTGCAACTTAGGACCAACCCGGCACAGAGTTAGAACTCAATCTATATTGAATAAACAGAGGAATGATATAATAGCTAGCTCCTATTAAAGGCTGAGCATATCAACTGCAGCAAATTGATTTCAGATATGAAAGATGAGAAGTATAACACAGTCTGAAGAATTAACTCTTCCCTCCTTGTGTCTTAAATGAACATGGCAATGTAAACGCTGTCATAGGTGACATTCTGGCTTTTTACTTTACAATCAGGAGTCCTCAGGAATAGCCTAGTCAAAGATCAGATAGGGGATATTGGAATAGCTGAATGAAATCATTGATTAAAAGGGCTACCAAGGGGCGCCTGGGTGGCTCAGTTGGTTAAGCATGTGACTCTTGGTTTCGGTTCAGGTTGTGATCTCAGGGTCATGAGATTGAGCCCTGTATGGGGCTCTGCACTCAGCACAGAGTCTGCTTGGGATTCTCTCCTGTCTGTCCCTCCCCCTGCTTGTGCTCTCCCTCTCTAAAATAAATAAATAAAATCTTAAAGAAAAAAAAGCCTGCCAAGGGAGCCTGTAGATACTTAAGATAATGAAATGAAGAATCGCACTTCCTAAACATTTATTAAAATGTTAAAGTCTTCAAATTAACATACTCATTTGCTTGCTCACTATTTATTGAGCATCTACTAATAACCATTTTCTGTTGAACTAAAAACAACTTTTATAAGTTGTGATAATCATTTATGTGACTTAAAAAATTATGATATTGGTAGTTATCAATGGGCTGATGAAAATATTCAGTTAATTAACATTTGTTGAGTGATTATTATGGTAAAGCATCTATATTTGCTTACGAACATGGTCAACCGATTGCTTATTCATGCAGAAATGCTAACACCTACGGATGCCCAAGGAGCCAGCTGGTGTCTCTGCCGCTTGTACCTGACAGGGGCAAACTCTTGGGTCTCAGGTAGCTGGGACTGTATATGACATACTTGGCAGGCACCATCACTAAATGTTTTTAGAAAACTAGCATGATTTTAATTTCAGTTTACACCTTCTTAGACAATAAAACTTAAATAACACCTAATGAAATAGAACTCGTCTTTATTTTTTATTTCTTGGCTAACAATTACTTGATCTGTCTTGTAAGTTAGGTGCTAACATGTTTATCTTAAAGCCCCCCCAGAAGGAAGGAAATCTTACTCACATAACAGGAAAGATTTCAAGTTTTTTTGTTTTGTTTTTTTTTTAATCTATTTCCACAGTTTCTTGCACAGAGCTATTTTTGCCTATTGCAGGTGTTGAGTTAATGTGTATTACATTATACTGCAGAATTTGGGAGAGACTTTCTGATATTTTAATCTAGTGAAAGTCAGGAGCTGGAAAAATATAAGATGATATCCCATAATAAAGTAGTTGTTTGAAAATCTACTTAGAAAACATGGACCCTCAAATTTTATATATAGGATTTTTTCCTACAGATATACTTGCCCACAGCAAAATGATAGGTTTTCCAATTAATCACTGTTTGTAACATAGTCAAAGAGTGTAAACAGTCACATGTCCAAATAGGGGGTTGGCTACATAAATTCTGGCAAATCCATATGGTAGGATTTTTTGTAGCTGTTTTAAAGAATGAAGTGGTTTTAATGTATTGATATAGAAGGATTTCCAAGAGATACCATTAGGTGAAAATGAACAAGGTGCAAAACAGTGAAAATACAATATCTATTTAGCATCATATATCCTCTGTGAGCTATTTACGCGTTGACTCTCTGAAAGGATACGCAGAAATCTGGTAGCAGGAGTTGCTTTCTTCCTGCAGGGGGATTTTCAGCCTGAGATGGGGCTTTTTGCTCTATATGTTTTTGTAATTTGTAATTTTTAAACCCTGTGCAAATATTACCAATTAAAAAAAAACGAATAAAAAATGTAAAACTTTGTAGAAAGGTTAATATAATATGTGACATAAGGAGAAAAATTAGGTTAGCTACTTTATTTACTGCTTGCCTCTTAAGTGGTAAACATATTTTTGTTTCTGTGTCCTTGTCATTAATCCCACAGTTTCTCCATGAAAATACTCTCCAGATGGGCTTTTTTTTTTTTTATTGTCTTGCCTTCGCATACGCCTTTTGATCATTTTAAAAACCATTCTAATCAACTAGCTGCTGAAATGACCAAACCCACTTGGTTGGCCTTTTTTTTTTTAAGAGACAGTGCGTGCACGTGCACCTGTGTGGGGGAGGATGCGGTGCAGAGGGAGAGGGAGAGAGGGGCTCCATCCCACAATCATGACCTGAGCTGAAAGAGTTGGATGCTTAACTGACTGAGCTACCCAGGCACCCCTCACTTTTTTTTTTTCTGGATGACATTTAAAAAAAAAGATTTTATTTATTTACTTATTTATTTGAGAGAGAGAGAGAGAGTGGGAGTAGGGGGAGGATCAGAGGGAGAGCGAGAGAAGCAGACGCCCCGCTGAGCATGGAGCCAATGTGGGGTGATGCGGGGTGACGTGGGGCTCAATCTCATGCCCTGAGATCACAACCTGAGCTGAAAGAGTTGGATACTTAACCAACTAAGCCACCTGGGCGCCCCTAGATGATACCTGATGCAGATAAAATATAGCCACAAAAATGAGTCATTCTCCAGTAGAAAAACTTGTAAATGAAAAATAGAAATAATTTTTGTCTGTACGAAGTTATGGTGGGTTTTTTTTTTTTTTTTTTGGCTTCTTGAAAACTTGTCAGACAAAAGTCTTAGATTCTTTCTTACGATTGCAATTCTCTCTCCCTTCTCTCTTCTTCCTGTCTCCTCCCCTCCCTTCCTCTCTTTCTTTAATTCTTGTGAACGCTTTTCCACTCCCCTCACACTCCCTGGGTCATTCACTTTCTCTCCTAGCCTTAAAGTTGTGTGCTTCTTCTGTAAAAAGAAGCCTCTTATATTGAGACATTTGAGCAGCCTTGCTGTGAAGGGCATCATGCTGAAACCCTGTGAAAGATGAATGCAGTTTATGGCAGAATAACAGCATTGCAATGACAGGAGTACACACGTGTGGTGTTCTCGTAAGTCCTGCATGCAAGTCTAGCCCCCCTTAGGGGAAGGAGGCTCTTCTGTGATGCGTCAGCTCTCTGGTTCCCACATCAGTAGCCTGACAGGGAGGAGCTACCAAGAGTGAGATAAGCAGTCATGTTAGAATCCCATAAGTAGGGTGATCCTATAACTTACTATCTAAACCGAGACACTCTTGAGCGGAGAAGGGGATGCTGCTGGTGGCCAGGCTGGGGCAGCACATAAACCAGGACTGTCCCACCCCCTGCGACTGAGGTCCTCTGGGCATAAACACTGCTAGGACAAGAAAAAAAAAACAACTTACCAGTCACAGCTCCAGAATTGTATGAATATGTACCTGCAGAGAAGAGATTGCAGCTCAGTTATTGCTGTTTCTCAGTTAAGGCACTAGTTTCTCATTAAGCAGGAGGAATTTTGGACAATTTGGTTTCCATCCTAAAGCCTTGAGAGATTGATGGCTGGCAAAACCAAATTCCCTTTAGCAGAGAACAAGGGTAATTTATTTAGATGCTGGGCCATGCTTAAGAATCAAATATGCCCTGTTTGCACAGCGAAGGAAAACATCAACAAAACAAAAAGACAGCCTCCTAAATGGGAGAAGATATAGATATTTGCAAGTGACATATCTGATAAGGATTAATATCCAAAGTGTGTAAGAACTTATACAACTCAACACACACACACAAGCAAATAATCTAATTAAAAATGGGCAGAGGACCAGATAGACGCTTTTTCAAAGAAGACACACAGATGGCCAACAGGCATACGAAAGGATGCTCAACATCACTGGGAAAGGCAAATGTGAAGCCACAATGACAGATTATCTTACCCCTGTGAGAATGGGTAGAATCAAAAAGACAAGAAACATCAATTGTTATGGAGGATGTGGAGAGAAGGGAACCTCATGCACTGTTGGTGGGAATGCAAGCTGGTGCAGCCACTCTGGAAGACAGTATGGAGGTTCCTCAAAAAAATTAAAAATAGAAATAGCTATATGATTCAGTAATTCTGCCAGGTATTTACCCAAAGAAAACAAAAACACTAATTTGAAAAGATACATGCACTCCTATGTTTATTGCAGCATTATTTACAGTAGGCAAGATATGGAAGCAGCCCAAGTGTCCATCAGTAGATGAATGGATAATGATGTGGTATATATGTGATATGAGTATTACTCAGCCATAAAAAAGAATGAAATCTTGCCATTAAATAACAATGGATGGACGTAGAGTGTATTATGCTAAGTGAAATAAGTCAAACAGAGAAAGACAAATACCATATGATTTCACTTAGATGTGGAATCTAAAAAAACGAAACCAGTGAACAAACAGACAAAAGCCGAAACAGACCCTTAAACACAGAGAACAAACTGATGACAGCCAGAGGGGAGGAGTGTGTGTGGGGGGGGGGATGGGCAAAATGGGTGAAGGGGGAGTGGGAGGTCCAGGCTTCCAGTGATGGAATGGATAAGTCACGGGGATGAAAGGTACAGCATGGGGCGGCGGGGAGCAGAATCAGTGATATTGTAGTAGAGAAGAACACGCCACAAAGAATCAGCTATGCCTTTACGGAAGATGCAGATTACCAAGAGCTTTTCCATCCCACAGACTGTGACTCCAGATTGCAGAAGGCTTCCACTGTCCTCCATATTGGGAGGAGGCAGATATTATTCAGATTGGCAAAGCCTCTGCCATGCAGGTCTGTACGGTGAGCCTTGTCCCATCCAGGAGATGGACTTTCTTTCCCAGCTGGGCTGAAGCAGGGTGGAGCACAGCGGTTAGAGGGCAGAGCAGGGAGGCTGTGACACAGAGCAGCGAGCAGGGGGTCACTGAGTTGTCTGGGCTTCGGGTCAGATGGTATAATGCTGTGCAGTTGGCTCGCTCGAGGTCTCCACCCGCACCCAAGAAGCAGCCCACGGGTTGCTGACTTCTCCTAAAATATGCAAAGCCAGTGCTAACCTGGCGTCTCCTGTGAGGCGGAGGGAGTGCGTTCCAAGGCCTTTGCCGTTGTCTGAGGTGGGGCTTGGGAAGGTTCCTGACTGATCGGCCCTGTGGTTCCTGTAGCAGGAGGCTTTGATGGCATCGGCCTGGAGTCTAGCACAATATCGGGCTTGGTGGCCACTGTGGTGTCTGACTTGGAAGTGAAAGCTGGTTCTGTAGGAAAGTGCAAGATATGGAGGACATGAATATTTAGACTCGTGTCTCTGCTCAGCTCCAGAAGAGAGTGGACTTGGTACTTGCTCTAGTGAAGCCCCCACCGTGGCCCAGCCCTTCCCCGGCACACTCCTCCATGGCTCTTTGGGAAAATCCCTTATGTGGGTAACCTGTTCATCCATCTGGAATGGCCACGGGACTTTCAAGGATGCCAGAGGCTCTGCAGCTGTTTATCATGGTGCAGAGTTCAAGATGCCATGGATTTGGGTAGACTTGGATGCTATGGGAGGCTGCTCTCAAAAACTGAGTGCAACTGTATTTGCCAAAGACATCTGGGGTGCGGATTTTCATTTATTTTTTTACGTGTTTGCCCATGACTTCTGAAATGGGGGGGAAGCCTGAGGTTCAGCCTGACCGAATCTTAGAGAGCATACTTGAAGGAAGGGTCCTGGTTTTGCGCTGATCGAGGGGAGGGCAGCCTGCCTTGTGTCCAGGCCCTCACCGTCCCTGTTGACCTGGCAAATGGCTGCCCCCAAACTGTGAAGCATGGTACAAGTGCCTCTGTGACCCCAGCACCGTTGGCTGTCTGGCCACGCCGTGTGGGGCTGCTGTCCCAGCCGCTTACGCTGTGAGACGTCCTCCTGCCCCTTCGTCCTCTATCAGCATCTCGCACGATCCGGGCTGCCAGCACTCCGCGCGCTCTGTGGACAGAGCTCCCCCAAAGCATTTCCATCCAAGCGCCCATGGCCATGTCACCCCGTGTCGGAGATGACACTCCCACGCCTTTCACCTGATCAAGTGTTCCATGCACGAAGGCAAGGCTGGCAGAGACCAGCCTTGATTATTCTCATCAGTTGGTGCACCGGATATGACTTGGGTCAAAGGGGTTTTGGAATTACCCCAAACTAAAATGTAGTCAGCGCTCAACCATATCCTCCTGTTTGTAGCCAACAAACTACCTAACTAACTAGGAGGAAACCTCCCTCTGGCCTCGCCATCCCCCCCGCGGCATTGCTACTCAGCCTTGGCTCCCTGAGAATCACCTGGGGAGCTTCTAGAACCCTAATTCCCAGGCTGTTCCCCAGACCGCCAGAGGAGGAGGAGGTCCCCACGTGTGTCCACGGTTAGGAAGCCATGCTCAAGGGGAGGCGAGCCCGAGCAGTGCAGCCCACCACAGCAGGATGACTGTGCCTGGGCGTGAAGGGGGAGGCGGGGGGTGGGGAAGCACCACACTGGATAACGGGACACAAAAAAATCAGGAGTTAAGTGTAAAGTAAGGCTTTCCTAGGATGTAGGGCACGTTGTCCCAAGACATTAGCATCTATGATTTCAAATTTTCTTAACATCAGTACGGTGCTGAGGAAATTGGGATAGAAGATTAGCTAAGACCCTGGAAATGCGTAACGTTGGCAGCTTTGTGCAGTGCTTCTGTACCCAGCAGCCCCCCGTTGGGGGAACAGTTCTGCATGGGTCCCTCATGTTTCTGCATGTCTTGTCGGCAGAGGCACTGGCAGCCCTTTCTTGGGATTATCTTTCCAAAGATGTTCCTATAGCCTTGGAAGGTGCAGACAGTGCCTCACCCTGGAGCAAAGGACAGACATGGTCAGCAGGTTATAAAAGACTCCAGTTTCTTAACTCAGGCTTCCTCTGCTATGAAGCAGCCTGTTGGATGTGCAGGCATCTTGGAGGCCCCTCCCTGTTGCCCCTGTGGGACACAGAGATGAGGAAATTGAGGCAAACATGCCAAGGGTCCTGCTGCCTGCTGTGCCGTGGAAGGAAGAACGTCCTTGGTCTCTGGAGCGGGAACGTCCTGTTTTCCATGGGCACCCGTGACGTGTTGGCGGGCTAACATGCAAGGCAGGCAAAACCGCAGATCCTCCCCAGTTTTGATGAGGAAGTGCGTCTACAGCTAAGTGTGATCTGGCATTGTAAGAGTGGGTTTCGAACCATCATTAATTATGTGCAGCCGAAACCTAGCTATCAAGCCACTTTGATTTAAAAGAGAAAATGAAGCTAATATAACGTTGACGTTAAGAAAAAGTGTGTCCTGTTGTTTAAGTTGGCCGTGGAACTCCAGCGGTGGTCCAAGAATCTGAAGGGCTCACAGGGACCTGCGTGGTCGCAGGGAATGGGAGTCCTTAAAAAGTTTCCAACATCCCTACCTTTTCCAGAAAGGGAGGTGCTCTCTGGCTCTGGGGTCACCCCTGCTGGCACTTCTGTGGAGGATGGCCTTAGGTGAGTCAGGGAGGGGTCTCCTAGAGAGAGGATAACCACATGGCATTCATGAGCCTGAGGGTGGAACCTGGAGTGCTTCACAACCACATAGAAATAAAAAAATAAACATATAAATTTAAAATAGAGATATCTGGCTTCCCAGGATAGGTTAGAAGCACGAGAAATACGCAACGATGTTTCCTAATCTGCAATTCCCAGGCAAATGTAAACAGACGCAAACTCTTTTTCTAGCCTTTCAGAAAGACTGCACACATATCGAATGTCTTGTTATTTTCAGTTAGAATGATATCAATGAGATCAACTCAGTTTTATAATACTGTCTTTTTACATGGGAAAATAAATGATTACTCAGTAGATTCAGTTGTTTTGTAAGGAAAAAAAAAAAAAGCATTCCAAGCATAGGAGGTTAGGAAAAGTAATGGAGGGAATTGTTAGTGGTAAAAGGTGAGGATTCTTTGGGCTACATGAAACCTAAAGATCCTCCAGTCTTTAGGTTCTAAAAGTCTAGAGGTCCCAGGTCTCTCCCCCTTGCTTCCTCTACCCCCACCCCCCACCAACCAGTTCCGAGCCTACAACTCTTCCCCATCTTAGATTCATTCACCCAAAGGAATTGGCACTTTGAAGAAACAGTCACTTTGCCTATGCTGGAAAGCCCTTATTTTTGCCCCTGGATTACAGGTACCAGCAGGTGCCCAGACTGGACAGAATGAGATGTCCACTCTGTGTCTTTGCCATAGTGTTATTGCTCATACCTGTTGTCACCCAGCTAGTTCAGCACTTCAATTGCACTTGATGCCATGTGGCACTATGTCCCCCAGCTGAGCGATTCCTTTACAATAAATAGAAGGCTTCTTCCTTGCCCTGCCTCTGATGTCTGCATGATGTCATGCAGGGGGAGGGGGCAGGTGCACAAAATCAATGAGAAAGTCTGGCTTTTCAAGGAATCCTACAGCAGAGTGAGTTTGCTCTAGAACAACCCCTTTTGTCCACTTCCCCAGAGAGGAGTTGAGAATTTTCACATATATGAGGATGTCTCTAGCTTGCAGTTGGACATGTATCAAATATGCAATAAACCATGAGTTAATCTTTATTTTTCTAGAGTAAGGGCCTTAGTATTCCTGGAAATAGCACTATTGACTTCCACTCCAAGATTGTTGGCTTCTGACATATGTCAGAGATATTGTGGGTTCTGTTCCAGACCATCACAATAAAGTAAATGTGGCAATAAAGCAAGTCAAATGAATCTTTTGTTTCTCAGTGCATAGAAAAGTTATGTTTGCACTATACTATAGTCTATGAAGTGGGCAATAGCATAGTGTCTAAAAAAAAATCAATATATATACCTTAATTTAAAAATACTGCTGAAAAATGCTAACCATCATTTGAGCTTTCAGTGAGTCATAATCTTTGCTGGTGGGGGGGTCTTGCCTCGATGTTGATGGCTGCTGACTGATGAGGGTGGTGGTTGCTGAAGGGGGGGGGTGGCTGTGGCAGTTCTTTAAAATAAGACACTGATGAAGTTTGCCACAGTGACTGACTCTTCCTTTCATGAACAATTTCTCTGTAGCAGGTGGTGCTGTTTGATAGCATTTTACCCACAGTAGAGCTTCTTTCAAAATTGGAGTCAGTTCTCTCAAACCCTGCCACTGCTTTATCAACTGAGTTTATGTAATATCCTAAATCCTTTGTTGTCATCTTAACCAGGAGTAGATTCCATCTCCAGAAACCACTTCCTTTGCTCATCCATAAGAAGCAACTCCTCATTTGTTCAAGTTTGATCATGAGATTGCAGCAATTCAGTCCCATCTTCAGGCTCCACTTCTAATTCTGGTTCTCTGGCTGTTTCCACCTCATCTGCAGTGACTTCCTCCACTGAGGTCTTGAGCCCCTCAAAGTCATCCGTGAGGGCTGGAATCAACTTCTCCAAAACTCCTGTGAATGTGTATATTTTGACCTCTTCCTGTGAATCATGAATGTTCTTAAAAGCATCTAGAATGGTGACTCCTTTCCAGAAGGTTTTTAATTTACTTTGCTCAGATCCATCAAAAGAATCACTGTCTCTGGCAACCATAACCTTATGGGATGTATTCCTTAAATACTAAGACTTGAAAGTGGAAATGACTCCTTGATCTGGGAACTGCAGGATGGATATTTTTTTTAGCAGGCATGAAAACAATATTAATTTCATTTTCATCTCAATCAGAGTTCTTGGGTGACCAGGTGCATTGTCAATGAGTAGTCATATTTTGAAAGGAAACTTCTTGAGCAGTAGGTCTCAACAGTGGGCTTAAAATATTCAGTAAACCATGTTGTAAGCAGATGTGCTGTCATCCAGGTTTTGTTGTTCCCTTTATAGAGCACAGGCAGAATAGATTTAGCATCATTCTTAAGGTTCCTGGGATTTTCAGAATGGTCAGTGAGCACTGGCTTCAATTTAAAGTCATCAGCTGCATTAGCCCCTAAAAAGAGAGTCAGCCTGTCCTTTGAAGCTTTGAAGCCAGACATTGACTTCTCCTCTCCAGCTGGGAAAGTCCTAGATGGGCTCTTCCATACTAAGGCTGTTTTGTCTACACTGAGGATCTGTTGTTTAGTGTAGCAGCTTTCAATAATTATCTTAGCCAGATCTTCTGGATAACTGGCTGCTTCACTTTGCACTCTTATGGAGATGGCTTCTTTCCTTGAAGCGCATGAACCAACCTGTGCTCGCCTCAAGCATTTCTTCTGCAGCTTCTTCACCCCTCTCAGCCTTCATGGAATTGAAGAGAGAGCCTTGCTCTGGATGAGGCTTTGGCTTAAGGGAGTGTTGTGGCTGGTTTGACCTTCTATTCGGACCCCTAAAACTTTCTCCATATCACCAATAAGTCTGTTTTGTTTACTTACCTTTTGTGTGTTCTCTGGAGTAGCACCTTCAGTTTCCTTCAAGGACTTTTCCTTTGTATTCATAACTTGGCACAAGAGGCCTATTTTTTGGCCTGTCTTGACTTGACATGCTTTTTTCACTAACCTAATCATTCCTAGTTTTGACTTGAAGAGAAGGATGTGATTCTTCCTTTCATATGAACCTTTAGAAGCTATTGTAGGGCTGTTAATTAGCCTAATTTCAATATTGTTCTGTTTCAGGGAGTAGGGAGGACCAAGGAGAGGGAGAGAGACAGGGGAATGGCCAGTCCATGGAGCGGTCAGAAGACATATACAACATCCATTGATTAAGTTAACCGTTTTACATGGGTGCGGTTTGTGGTGCCCCAAGAGAATTCCAGTAGTAATATCAAAGATCACTGGTCCCAGCTCCCATAACCAATATGAGAAAGTTTGAAATGCTGCGAGAATTACTAAAATGTGACACAGAGACACAAAGTGAGCAAATACTGTTGGAAAAATGGCGTCAGTAGACTCGCTTGAAGCAGGATTGCCACAAGTCTTCAATTTGTAAAAAACATAATTATCTGTAAAGTACAATAAAGCAAAATGCAACAGAGTGAGGGATGGCTGCAGCTAATATTTTTTTTTTTAAAGATTTTATTTATTTATTTGAGAGAGAGAGAATGAGAGACAGAGAGCACGAGAGGGAAGAGGGTCAGAGGGAGAAGCAGACTCCCTGCTGAGCAGGGAGCCCGATGTGTGGGACTCGATCCCGGGACTCCAGGATCATGACCTGAGCCGAAGGCAGTCGCTTAACCAACTGAGCCACCCAGGCGCCCGGCTGCAGCTAATATTGACCAGGTTTCATGGCACACTGCTATAGCCCACACCATTGACATCGGGTTCATTTTCTAGATGAGGAACAAAGACTTCCAAGATGGTAAGACCCTTGCTCAAGGAACCCAAAACTGTGACCCTGAGGCCTGTGTATTTTCAACTCCCAGGGGTGTTGTTCAGAGGCCCATTGGTTTATTTAGCCTCAGACCTCAACACAAATGTCTTGTCCCCCAGAGATGGGCTCATTCAGCTTCCCACACTACAGTTCCACTCTGTACAGCTTTGGGAAGGGGGATGGAGAGACTTGCAGGGACAGCTACTTACTGATGCACTTGAGATTGGGAATTGTCCAGTGGGCCACGTTCATGGTCTTGTTGAACACGCATTCGGTCAGGCTGGATGTCCCGGCTTTACGCTTGAAGCCAGAGTTACAGGTGTACCGCTCCCTGGAGCTCACCTTGTAACTCTTGACCTGGATGTCTGCATGTTCGACCGACGTGGGAGGAGGGCACGTGATGCCTGCAGGGGTGCAGGTAAAACAGGACAGGAGAGATGAACACATTCCAGCTTGTTCAGAGGTGTTCTCCAGGGTGCCTCTGTAGCTGGGGTCTGGCTTTCCAAGGGGCCCCATAGGATACACCCCAGATTCTAAGCATGTGGAAAATGTTCAGGGTCTCATCATTTAGAAGCCTTCCAGGAGCCTTGTCTTAAGTGCTCACCAACCAGCATGGCTAGGGACTGGGGAGTCATCCGTGGGAACCCCTCTCCCTTCCCCTCACCCCCCATTACTCTTTCACCGTCTCTATCTCCTTGGCCTCACCCAGCCTGGCCTCTGCACTCTCTGGCCTGAAAGCAGCAATAACCTTTGAATTGGTCTTCCTGCCTGTTCTCCCTGAAAGCCTTGAATCCATTTCTGTAATGCAGCCAGTCATCTTCAGAAATGCGCATTGGATGACTTCACTCCTTCCTGGTTGCCCGCTGCTCTTAGAATAAAAACTAAAATCCTCAAGAAGTCTTCAATGCTCTGCTGGACCTGCCCCCAAACCCCCAGCTACTCTTCCCCCAGCCACTCTGGCCTTTGGTCCCCCCCCGCCAGGCCACTCACCATGCCCACTGCTCTCCCCAGCCCATCTCCTGCCATCCTTCCTAACATCAACATGACTTTCTCAGGAAAGCCTTCCCTCCCCTCCCCTCCCGTCAGCCAGGTCCCATAGTTCTGTGTTCTCTCCCTGTGTGGCCAGCCACTCTCCTGGTTGTACTGAAGACAATGAGATGATGTAAGGGCTGTGTCTCATCATTTGCACTTTGAGCGGTGGCAGCGGGGGGCACATCTGTCTTGCCCAACACTGGGTTCTCTGAGCCTTGTAGGATAGCTGTTCAAGAAAGAGTGTTCAGAGGATGATACTTATTATGCACATGGCCTTTACCCCAGCAATTTCACTTCTAAGAATTTACCTTACAGATACACTGGTATATTTATGGAGTGAGTACGTACAAAGTTATTGGTCATAATAGCCAGTACCTATAAATTACCTTGTATGTGGTCAGCAGGAGACTAATTTAGTAAATTACAATACAGCTACCCTACGAAGAAGTACCACCCAGCTCCTTACAGTAGATGAAGAAAGCTCTTTGTGCACCGAACTGGAAAGATCTCCAAGATACACTGTTAGGTTAGGAAGAAAAGGAATAGAACCATATGTTTTATATGCTACCATCAGTAAAAAAAGAAGAAATGGTACCTATCCACAATATTTTGTCTGTACATAAAATCTCTGAAAGGATGCAAGAGACTATTAACGCTGGAGATGAGGCAGCTGAGAGATGCACTGGGAGAGACTTTTTACTGAATGCCTTTTCATAATTTTTTTTTTTTGTCTTTCCATACTTTCTGAATCTTTAGTGGTGCAGATGTTTTACCTGTTAAAAATGCTTTTGAGGGGCGCCTGGGCGGCTCAGTCAGTTAAGCATCTGCCTTTGGCTCAGGTCAGGATCCCGGGGTCCTCGGATCAAGACCCGCCTCAGGCTCCCTGCTCAGCGGGAAGTCTGCTTCTCCCTCTCTGTCTCCCCCGCAACCCCCCTGCTTGTGCTCTCCCTCATATTTAACAAGCAGTGCCAGCCAATCAGAATAGCTGCTGGAAATACTTGGGACTGGGGGAGGGGTGACCACTGGCCACAGATGAAAGGCCACAGTGATGAGGACTGGCAGAATATTAGTTGTGCCTATATGTTACACTGTTTTAAATATATGACGTACTGCATAATAGAAAGGTAGGGGATGGGAGAATTTAAAGTACCCTGCCACAGGAACTCAGAAATCTTGGTTGAGCCTAGGGCAGGAGAGGGATAAATCCTGCTGAGTGGCGGGTGTTCGGTGCTTCGGCTGTAATATGTTGCCTGCTACAGGAATGTGAGAAATGCAGGAGATTCTGGAATTAGGAATTTTTGCCTTTCTCTGAGCAAGTGAAGGCAACTTGGGGAAAAACTGAAGGCGAGAAGTTTTGCAAGGTCATCTGGGAGGATTCTGGACACCCTTTTGGGAGACAGCCCGCCCCCCACCCCCCCGGCCTGCCCCAGTCACTCCCAGCAGACTGTGAGTGTGACAAAGTGCATGCCAAGTGATACCTTTTATCAGACGAATGTCACCAAAAGAAGGTAAGAGCCAGAGCTAGAACGATTCGAGTTTTCTCTAACCTGTACAACTGTGTTAAAAATGTCCCTCTTCTTTTAATTAGAATCTGAAAGATTTGAGCAAGACTTAGAGCCCATGATTTTCCTCAGTATGAAACTTCCTGGCTAAAGCAATGTCCTGGGACCTGCCGCATCATGTGCATTCATTTCATTTTTGTGGCATTTCTACAGATGGGTGCTCAGTAGATCTGCAGGATAAGCTGGTCTAATGGCTTTTGGGAATGACACCTAGTGAAGTTCTCTCTCATGTCTGAGTTTTGGAATGTACCAGGAGCAGACAGTTCTGGTCTGAAAGTCTGATGATTGAGCTACCTGCAAGTACGGTAAACAGTCCAAATCCCAAGTGGATGAGGTGAGCTCAGTCACCTACCCAGATTAGACCTTGGTGCTAGGTCTGAGGGGGACAGATTCTGGATTCTGGCTTCTGGAACATGAATCCCCATCCATCCTGGGAAATGTAATGTCTTAATGATCTTAAGCTGGGTGTTCTAAGTGGGGCCGGTTTCCTTCTGTATCCCTCAAATAAGCCACTCTTGTTTGATTTACCCAAACAGTATCTGTGCTTTCCAGCAATCTGAGCCTTCTTTGGGTTGGGCAGGATCTGGGGTCAGCTTTGACTGGCCATGGGCCCCCAAATGGCAGCTTTCTCCTTCCTTCCCACCTGCTCCCTGTGGGTTGGCCTGTCTCTGCCTAGAAGCCCTAGCTTTGGGGACTAGGGCCCAGACCTCCGCTGCCCAGGTCTTGACCATCTTTTCCTCTAGAGAGCAGTCCCTGGATTGCCACACTGCCCAGCTACTGGCTTAGGTTTGGATGTCCAAGAAGGACTGCCAGAATCACCAAGTGTCTGACTCTTGATTTCGGCATGGGTTGCAGGATTAAGCCCCGTGTCGGGCTGCACACTGGGTGTGGAGCCTGCTTGGGATTTTCTCTCTATCTCTCCCTCTGCCCCTCCCCTCCCCCACTCATGGGCACATAGCTTCTCTCTCAGAAAGAAAGAGAGAGAGAGAGAGAGAGAAAGAAAGAAAGAAAAGAAAGAAAGAAAGAAAAGGAAAGGCAGAGGAAATATTCCAGACTGAAAGAGGCTAAAGAGACATGGCAACGAAATGCCAAATATGGCCCTGGATTAGATCCAGAATTAGGGAGAAAATGGTAAACAAGGCCATTATGGGATAACAGACAGAATTTGAATACAGACTGAGAATTAGATGATAATATTGTGTCAAGGTTAAATTTCCTGATTTTTTATAATTGTTCTGTGGTTATGTGAGAGTGTTGTGTTTTAGGAAGGTATGTTAGAAGACATATTCTTAGGAAATATATACTGAGTATTTAGGCATAAAGGGGCATAATGTCTCCAACTTACTCTCAAATGCTTTAGAGGAAAAAGCACATGTGTAATAAATATATTTGGTTAGAGATGGGAGATGATAAAGCACTGGGGCAAAATGTAAATAGTTGGTGAATCTGGGTAAAGGGTATTCAGAGGTCTTTTCTGTTTTTGCAGTTTTACTCTAAGTTTGAGGTTGCATCAGAATAAGTTAAAAAATAAGCAAAGTAAGTAACCAAACAAAAACCACTTGGTGAATGTCGCTTGGGTCCCTTTCTTTGAGGATTGCTTTTTTTTTTTTAAGACTTTGACAGAGAGAGAGCACATAAGCAGAATGGAGCCACCCAGGCGCTGAGGAATGCTCCTGAAGGAAACCCTAAGAGCCTTTGACAACTCAGGCCAAGATTATAGTTTAGTCAGGTAAATGTCCTTGAATTATCTCCCTACTTGTGGTTTTCAGAGTGCTGCCTTTCCCTCTATCCTTGCCCCAATTCACACCATTTAGAGTTCCTCCTTCCATTTCCAGGGTCTAAAAGTAGTGTTTGCACTCTCTCCACATTTGGTATTTTGACTGCAGCTTTGGTTTGGTGTGTGGGTTCATCATTGCCATATTTGAGTCCTCCTGCTGCTGCTTCAACTCTGCTCCTTATGCCTTCATCTTCATCTTGGGCCCTCTAGGTCAGCGATTCCTAAATGTGAGTGTACAGTAGAACCCCCTGGAGGGTTTGTTAAAACTCAGAGGGCTGGGCCGTCCTCCCAGAGCTCCTGAGTCAATAGGTCTGGGGCAGGGCCTGAGAATCTGCATTTCTGACCACTTCCAGGTGCCAGTGATGCTGTGGGAAGCATGCCCCATCCCACATAGAACCATACTATATGGTATTCACAGGTGCAGAGTCTCCCAGCGTCAAGTTACTTTCTAGTGTGGATTTAAAGCTTCTCTTGAAGTTATTAACAACTGTTTGTTCATACCTTTCTATGGTATTGATATCATCCATGAAGATTTCTTTTACAGGTTCCTCCTGATGTGCTCTTCTGAATTTCTAGTCTAATAGTTTTTAATTGGACCCAATTCCCCCACCTCCCTCTAAAAAATGTACTCACCCACTGTGCACATGTGTGTGTGTGTGTGTGTGTGTCTGTGGGTGTGTGTAGTTAGCTTGGTAGTACCATGGGTTTAGCTCCATGACACCAAAATCTTAAATCTGTGTTTGTGGGGTGCTTTGCTCTATGTTAACATAGATGGAAAAATACTTAGAGATGGAGGGTGGGGTGGAATGAGGAGGAATGATCATAAAACACTCCACTCTAGAAATATTTAACAGTAGACCAGAGCACATAGTCCCATAAAAATACTAGACTCTGCTCTATGATAAAATGTTCCTTCCTTCTGAGGAAGCCTGGATTGAGCATGGACCTTTGGATCTCTCAGGTAATGTTACATCATTGGTGACTGGACAGTCTCCATTCAGCCACAAATCAATGACGCCAGAGGACAGGAGAGACAAGGAGTCCTCAGAGGCAAAGACTGAATTTAGCTGGTATGAGTGTATTTAACTGGTTTTTCCTTACCCACCCCTTTCCTTCCTTATGCCAAGTTTGCTCTTTGATGCTGA